ATATCTATATTTTTATACATATATATATGTTTAGGCCTCATGTTTTGGATTACTGTTTGCTAGAGATCATTAGAAAAAAAATACAGCTATCCTCCAAAATGTGTTCACTTTTTTCATCTGTTTACCTCTTGCAGTTTCTAATTCTTTTTTTAAACTTCACCATTTTGTTGTGTTTCTTTCAGAAAAAGCCTCACAGTACGAAGAAGAAAGTTCTATGGAAAACTTTGTATGGCAGTACATGATCATAATGCCGTAAGCCTAACAAGAAACAGACTAGATCTGTATATATCATATGTACGTGGTTAAAGTTTTACATGTGATGCTAAAAAGAGAGATCAGATTTTCTGAAATGTTGCCTGTCTTATCTACAAAAAAATACATATCATATTGTGCATATACAAAGTCATATACAAATTATCTTCCTCTTTTTTTGCTGTGATGTCCTGAGTTGACCGTACGGCTTTATGTGTCTTCCTGTTTTGCATTCTGCTGTACAAAGTGTCCTGGACCTTCTGTATCTTCCCTATTCCCCCTGCAGTCGACCAGCCTTTGCTAGGGGCCGAGAGACAGTCTAGAATTCATGTGGCTGCTCCCGTCTTGATCATTTAGGATGATCTCTAAGGAATGCAATTAAGAAGAATGACATGCAGGGATAATATACAGAATTAATTATTCATACCACTGCATAGTGCTGGACATAATATATGCTCAATACAGGAACCCAAGCATATGGTAAAGTCATAATTATGCTTATAAATCAATTAATTGTCAATTCCCTGTGTAATTACTTTGTTTGTTTTCTGGGAAGATGTTTTTAATTGGATGGTTTAACAGTGATAATGAAATCTAAACCAGTTATTAAGTCATTGCACGGGTAACATAGGTTATGTCGTGGTGCAGATCAGGGTTAATATTGCACGTGACAACATGTACTGATGATCACTGTTCCTGTCACAGGCAGTGATGGCCTGAGGTGTTGACTGTTCATTCTTCTCTTCAGCTGACTGGTTCTAAAAGCACATCAAAGCCTTAGTGCAGGCCAGAGGAAAATAAAATCTTCCCAACTGAGGTTCATTTTTAAGTGCCATATTCCTCATTTTTGAGTTTAGGAACCTGATTACCAATGTATTTCATTTTAAATATATTGCACATCATACTTCAGTTGCACTATTCAGGCCAAGGAAACACCGTTCAATTTATTTCTAGGAAGTTCTGAAACATTGGAACAAACTTCTCGGGCTTACACACTTGTCTAGAGGAGGAAGTGCATCATTTGAAGAGGCAGCCATACATCCTGTGGGGACAATTCAAAGAATCAACAGCCAAAGTTTCTTGATAGAAAAGGTCTCTGAGGATTGTTGTAGATGCTGTATAATGACTAAAGTGCAAATGTTGAAAGTGATCATAGAACCACTGTGCTACAAATGTGGCAACACATTTTTTTATTTATTTAGAGTAAGATGTGTTAACATCCAGCATGACAAAATTTGTACAAAGTTCACAATTTAAAAATGAAGTATCACAGCAACTTGTGATTCCACACATTTATAGCAAAATTAAAATGTCAACAAATCCATGCCGTGTAGTACAAAAATAAATCAAACTTCAGTTCCACAGAGAGCACAATAAATAGTTTATACAAAATTCTGTCTTAATAAATGATTACTTAAATTAACTTAGAAATGAATATGAACAATAAGTTATAATAAATAAACTCTGATGACTCACAATAATTTCATATGAAAGGTCAGCATTCTAATATGTGACACTTTTGTGATCCCTATATAATAGTCACAGATAACTTTTGATTTGATATTATGTACCAACATTAGATGAGCAGCAGATTTGTGCTTAAAATCCCTTTCCATTGTACATAGGTGATAACAATAAGAATCCAAAACTGATACTATCTATTACTCTACTGAAAGCATTACTATATTGGCAAAGAAGCTGCAGACACAATGCAGTGGAAAAATGCATATGCCATTATGAACAATGAAAGCCCTAAAAGGAGGCTAGGGCAAAAGTACAATATATATGGCAGAAGGTGAACAACAAGCACCTTGCTTCAGCTCTCAAAAAGGCAATTCTGAGCATGGCAGCTACAACTAATAGCACAACAGAAAAAGGGCACTGTACAGATAAGATACTGCAGAGCCCCAAAGTAATTACATAATCTTTTCCCAGCTAGTTATTAAAGTCCTCGTGGAAAACTGTAAGCTTTTGTACAGTGAATAGTATAAAGTGCCGCTGGGATATACATATATTTATACATATATATATATACCGAGGTTGAGTATTGTATCAGAATATTTGTTGTGAGATCCCTGTAGTCTCCCTTAGCAATATTACTGGATTGGCCATAATGGCTTCCACTATAATTTGTTCAGGTTTAGTGTCACAAGGCTAATGACACAAGAAATTGCACACCTCCGTATGGATATATAGGGCAAGGTAAGTGCAAATAGTCAACTGGCACATTGTGGGGACAATGACCCTGTAAGTCCTGTTCTGCTAAAAATATTTTATTTTTTACAAAACCCATCTTTTCATAACAAAATTTTAAAGTACTTTTGTACTTTCTGCATAACATCAAGACATGGAAGGAAAAGATATGCTATCAAATGTAAATAAATCCAACATCTGTAAAACACAACACATCACCAAATTTACTACTTAAAAAAGAAAAATGTAGTAATAAAAAGTGGTCTTATGCATACATATAGTGCAGTCATTTTGAAGAAAACAATCAAATCTTGAAGGTACAAATAAGTTTTATCTTAAAATGATCCAGTTTAAAGCAAAAAAAGTGCTGAAGTATATTTAGTTACATTAAAAATTTGATTGCATTCGTTTTTGCAATAGGTAATAGTAGAACAAATACAAAGCATATGTGAATGCTGCAGTAATGATTGTTCTCCAACCAAAAGCAAAACATAAATTTTAAAATGTTAAAAATGGGATCGAATGCTTGGCAAAGCAAAAGGAAAAATCTTTACTGAACTGCATTCCTACTACAGACAGCAATGAATGCAGTTCAGTAACTCTAACAGACACAGATCATTTGTGTTTATCCCAAAATTAAAGATGTGAAAAGGCAATATTAATTTTAAAATATTGTCCTCCATCTTGAATTGAAAACACGTAATTTCTGAAAGATGAACTACATTGCTGTAACAGATAGTTCAGAGGGGCACTGGCAGTCCAGCAGAGATAAGAGAATGTTGGCTCCAAAGTTTATTTGAAAACAAAAGCTGAAATCTTCACGTTGTCCACCTCTGATATAGTTCTTTTCATAATGGAAGTTCCCATATTCATACCATGTAATGCTTAGAAGTTAATTAAAAAGTGCTGTTTAAGCTGCTTTGAATCTTCTGTCAAGTTTCCATGGCTTGATGTTGTCTTACAATAAATTACCCATTTTGTATCTTACATCTAATCCATGCCATTTTCTTGGAATTCAAAAAACCTCATTTTATTGCCCCCACCACACACCATCCTCCAAAAACAAAAGTCACATAATATTTTCAAGCATTGTTCAAAAATAAAGCATTTTTGCAACCAATTCTTGCTATGAAACAATATGCACACAAAATGTATTTCTTAAATCCCATAAAATCCTCCAACATGAGGCAAAATGATAGTGTTTAAAAAGTGGCTGCAGACCGCAACATTGTCATTCAAAGCTGTTTTTTTTTTTGTCCATTTCAGTTCAAAATACTAAAACATTTAATCACTAAAGCATTAAAAAGAATTTACACTCTATTTATTTTGATCAGCTTACCTCTTCAGAAATATATATACCCCAAAAATGTGCATACATTAGCAGCTATAAACATTACATGGCATATCACACTATGTCAGCTTATATGAAAACGTACAAAATGTGAATGTATTCAAAAAACTATTATGCAGTTACTATCTTTAAAGCAAGACATAAAATCATTATGAAGTCTTGTAAGCATAACACTGTTTCAAACAGAAATAAATATATAACACTTTCTGGTAAATTACAGCAGCAAAAAACAAGAGGCATCCTTTTTTTAAGCAAGACTTTCACCACTATAGCAGCTGTTCAGACCTGAATTCCTCTCACAGCCTGCTTTATATTTTCCAGTAGGGCTTTATTTTCTGGACTCTGATAACGATCTTGATTTGTATACATGTCCGTCAAAGTGGTCACGTAAGCATCAAAATTTTGTTCATTGATTGGTTCCTACGAGATATTAAATAGTAGTTCATATACAACTTTTATTTTCTTAATCGTATATTCATTTAAGCATAACATATTATCAAGGCATACTGCCACCATTTTTTATAATATTTTAAATGCCTATTTAGTTCTTACTTAATTTTACAGGATACACTGGAACAGGCCCTCCATGTCTTTGTTAGCAGTTAAATGTATCTTTATGGTTTCAGTGTTGTTATCACAAATATCCAACTGGTTGATGAAACATAAACATAAAAAAAGACATCTATTGTATGAAGTGAACTGAAGATCGCCAAATTCCTTAACTTGTGCTCTCAATCACTTACCATATGTGGCAGCTGGATATTAGCTAGACTATGAATTAAAGACTGGCTTAAATTGGCCAATTCATGAAGAAGAGACTCGTTTTGCTGTTCAATTACTTTGTTCTCCTCTTCTATCGTCTTCAGGTTGCTCTCCATTGTGGTAATCTAAAATGGACAAATTTGTGTACAATGTAATATAAGGCAAGCATGTGCTCTTTGAAAGGAGAGATAACAGAAATAGCAGGGAAAGGAGAAAAAGGTCTATTCATTCATGCTAAAAAAGGTTTTGCTTGAGTCTGCAATTCTTACCATTGTTAAGGGTTTCTTATTCCTATTGCATGTTGTATGATCTTAACAGCTTGTCTTTTAAATATTGGTAATAATGAACGAACTTGGATTTGAATCCACTGCTTTAGAGCTTTTCTTCTTAAGTTGAAAGGCATTAAGGTGGACCTTAGGTCTGCAAGTTCACCCTTGGCTTCTACTCCTAGAAGCCTACCGTAGGGACATTCCGCAGTAAGTCATGCATTTCTTAAATTTTCTGATACATATACACACACATATATATTGTTAGTTAAAGCACGCCCAGCTCCTTGCTGCCAGTGTTTAGCTATTTTTAAGTATAATTTGATTCTATGCAAATTCACAGGGCTGCTTTTGAAAGCTGAAAAAATTGCATGTTATTGCAATGTACGTACAAATTTGGAAAGTTTTTGAGTAAATACGACTGGCAAAACTGAAGGAACTGAAGAACATTTGCACATAGCCAGGAGAGTGGTCTCCGTGGCATGACTACATGTACAGGTGAAGATGACTGAGGGGACGTCCTGCCTGTGTTCCCTGTGACCAGACACAAGTTAGCTCCAACTTTGCATGGTGCCATGCTTGAGCTAAAAAGCATTGCTGAGAGGCAACTTACCTGAGCTTGTGCAGACCACTGTGCTAATGAAACTATAAGGATTTCAGATGAGCACTGGCTTATGTCCACCTTATTGAGAGCACACACAGAGCTCATTCGGATCTGTCTACACTGTCCTCTGTAGATCTGTCCTTACTTTCCACGTGGGATGACAACTGTTAACATCTACTACAATGTGTACATTGTTCTCTGGTGTGTGTGTAAGTTAAAACATGCATTGACAAGAGGGCAAAAAAAGATGCTAGAGAAGTGGAAAAAATTGCAAAGCACACAAGGTTTTGAATTCTCAAAACGAGCTTTATCGGTTTCTAAATTGGCATAGACTGTGAACTGTGGGATGAATTGATACAATTGAAATGCTGGTGGGAAGGTTGGAGGTTTGTGCAGTAGTAAAAGGCAGAAAGGGAAAAGGTTCTTAAGTGAATATTAGCTTGACCATAGGTGAGTAAATTTTAGGAAATTGTTGTCACAATCAGATTGTTAGATGTCTCAAGTTTTATTCTGGACCTGGAGGTTCAGTCTGCTTATGGAAATACATTCCACTAGTTGATAGAAGTAACTTTGACAAGTGATGTGGCTACATAAAACAATCTTCAAGTATCTCTTACTTTGACTACAGGTGTTTATATCGCAGTTAATCCAAGCTGTCAGTATTGCATGGGCTTGGTTTTGTCACAATTAATTGATTCTGAGATATTTCAACAACATATTGTAGTCGACAAAATACTTTATTCAGCTTTGAAACTGGAAACATCCTCCCCTCTTGTTTTGCTTTCAGCTTGTTTATGTCAGAGAGCAATGCTGCATGCAAATGCAAAACAGCTTTCATAGGTGCTTGTTAGAGTCAGCCGTAGTCCAATATTTACCCTAAAAGCTGTTTTTTATGTTACAGAACAAAATGAAGAGTCTGATGTCAATGAAGGCCCAGGTCAGCATGGCATAGTGCTGCTTCCTCACACTAACTTAAGTAGGAGCTGACATTTTATAGATTTTCTAGCTAGTTGAACACTGCTACTTAAATAGATCTTTTTTCATGTGAGATGCTGACTATCTGCAAAGACAGTAGCAGCTGATCAGCATATCTCACAATTTAATTTAGTATTCAGCTGTAAGTATCTTAAGAGAACTGGCATACTTAATTATTGTATTCACTTGCTTAAAGGCTGACATTTCCCTCCCCACATTTTAGCCTAAAACTGACAAATATTCACTTGCATCTATTCTAAAACCAGGATAACCTATTGCTTGTATGAGACGCATAGTTACTTGCAGATTTTTCTTTCCCCCTCTCACCTTTATGTGTTTCTGGCCCTCTCATACTTTTGGACCTGCATGTTAAATTTGGCTGAATTTACTAGAAGAGCTTAGATTAAAAATACTTCTTCCAAGTATTATGCAACAACGCAGCTGAGTAAAGGAGAGCCTTATGAATGCCCCAACTAAGAAAAAGGCTGCAGTGTGACTTTTCGCTTCATTAAATATAAGAGATTCTACACGGAAAGGAAGTTCCTGTTGTAGGAAAAACCTTTGCGGGCACTTACAATCATATGGGATGCAAATACATATCAATCAAGACTGTTACTACTTCCGGTGTTCACAGAACTTTCACAATTTTCCCATTATGTATTCCCTGCCTGTGAAGTCTTATGGAAATCTAGGTTGCACAGTGATTTTCTAAAGATTTATCAGCAAACATTTTGTTATGTTCAATGTAATTTTACTGTTTAATAAATGGGTAATAACTTCGACGTATCTCTTTATGTGTTGGAAATATAAATTGCTTATCTTCAGGAGACTGTATGAATACAAAACCAAGGTCTCTGAATTTCTGTGAGACTTGACTCAGCTGGGATTACCTGATAGGCATCACTAGCTAGTTGGGTAGGAACAGGTGAGTACTAGACTAGACAGCCCAAAGACTGTGTAATCTCTAGTGTATTCAGTAAAGAACAGTTTAGACAAACATCTGTCAGGATTGGCTTAGGAAGAGCTGAGCAGTAGGAAAGGAGGAAGACTGGTGGACAAAATAACCTTTCAAGGTCTCCTGTAGCTCTGTTTTCTAGAATCCTATCAATTATTTTAATGGCAGTGTGTGTCATTGCCAGTGATTTAACCCTTTATCTGAATCTGCTGCACCAAGGTGTGAAAAGCACCCTTTCAACTTGGTGTTAAAGTCATCAGCTGAGGTTTTTTTACTAAGAATAGGCAGTTGTCCCAGGTAGTGCCTAATCTGATTTCTAATAATATGCAATGGCACTAGTCTGAGGTGTGAAAGCAGGAACTGAGGCCACTGAAGCCTGGCTTCTGTAATCATTTCAGATCCAAAATTGATGTGAAACTTGTAGCTAAATCTTTGACATTCAATATATGTTTTATGCTTGTCATTAAATTTAAAATGCAGAAAGTTATTGACAAGTAGAGCACTTACCTAATGTACACATGGTGGCCAAACTGCTACACATATTTTAAAGTCTTGGCTAAATCAGTCTATATGTAAATAGCACCCACAGCATTGTATTAAGCAAAAGAAAACACAAGGGAGCTTTGGAAGCTGCCAGATTCAAAACTTAGGACTAGATTCTTCCAGCGCAAATACATAAAATTTTTCTGCTATTGATTATTCTTTTTGTTTTACATTTTTGCAGATTTTTTATCCCACCATTACATTTGGTTACATCAGAAATCTGGGTAAAACATAAGTCAAATCCTATAAAGCCCAAGTAATCACAACAGAACCCTGAATGCAGTCATGAAATAGAAGGGAGTTTTCAATATCAATCTGGCTAAGGTTTAGAAGTCAAAGAAAAACCAAGCTGAAGAGGCAGATCCTGCCTTCTACTTATGAGTATACAAGAGGAGGAGGACAATGGACCTGCTCTTTTCCACAAGCAGTAGACAAAGAAATAAGAAGGAATGGTTTACTCGGTTTCCATTAAGATCAATCAGATTATTATGACCATGGGACTAAAGGCTGATAAATGGTGAGAACTGCGGTAAATCTCGCTGTTGGTGTCTGTGATCAAATCATGTGAAGAAAAAAGCATCAGAAGCTGTGTTGAACACTGGAAAATGCCAGGGAAAGAATTCAAATCATTTCCTTCCTTTGCTTTTTCTATCCAGTTTTTAGGACTGCTGAAAAATGAGATTTTAAGTAATAGTCTAATGTTAATTTTATATTTTTTTTCCCAACATTTTTTTGTGGAACCCAAAAAGAATAAAACTGGATCTGTGGAACCACTACCTGCTGCCAAGGGCTGCACTTCGTGTACCGCATGATGGAGTGAAGTGTAACAGGTGCTCACTTCCCTGTCTAAATTGCCTCTGTAAGTCAGACCTGGCAAAAGCCATGCTGTTCATCTGGACTCCTTCAGCTTGTAACTCACGTTAATGACCATGATCGCACCTAATATTTTAACTCCTATTAGAAAGGCATAGCCTTATCAAGGAAAAGTACAAAGCTGACCACAACACGTCATACTTTTGCCATTTTTTAAAATAATGTATTTTGCTAAGCCTATTATTTTTAAAATAATTTTAAAATAATGTATTATTGCTAAGCCTATCTGTTTTTTTTTATGGTGGCAACAGATTGTGAAATTACATAATGGATATTGTTTTCTGATTTTATAAATGGCAAATCACAGACAGAAATCATAATATGTAAGAAACATAAAAGGGAACAATATATTTCCTATATTTCTTTTAATCAGTCATGTGGAAAAAGCAGCTGAATTTAGGGCTTCATAAAACTGTTACCTGAGTTCTGAGTTTAATCATATCAGCTTCCATCTGGGAATTGGATTCATTTAGTTCTTTGATTTCTTCATCTAACTGTTTAATTTCTTCATCATTTTCTATACCTATGTCATACAAAAATAAAAGGGATGTTAAAATCATTAAGCTTTACATCATAGTTCAGTGAATTCATTATTTCCATATTTGAAAATGAATTTATTTCAAGTAAAATTATTAAAGCAAAAAAAAAATGCATTCTTCAAACATTTCTTTTGAAGTTAAAACAATGTATTTTCCACTACTTTTCTTTTTAAAATTGCAGTAATTTTTCAGCGAGTGTTGAAAATGCCCAGAGGATCAATAAGACACACCTTTTTCTTTATATGCACTGATTTTAAAATTGTAAGAAACACACCTGCAGCAACAAATTCATCTTCACTGTCATATATAACTTATTTGAAAGACTGTGTCCACTTACAGATCTTCTGAAGAAAAAGAAAATATCTTAACATGCTAATCTCTTCATATTACAGTGTAGTTAAAATCATTTGTAACTAATTCAGAAGACTTTTTTTTCCCAATACAGTGAATTTTTTTGATGCTCTAGTATATATTGCTATTCTGCTGTTGCTTTTAATAATTTCATGGTTCAGAAGGGTGTTATTAAATAATGATATATAGGATAATTTGCAAAATGGAAGTGATTTCTGAGTTTCTATAGCATTAATATTTAGAGAACAGAATTTTAAAGGCACCTGCATCTTTAAGGATTCAGACAGGAATAAACTGTACAGGTTTTATTTATTTATCCTTTTAATTATTATAACAAGGCATAAAATAGTCCTGGGAAGAGATAGACCTGTTTTCACTCAAGTCAAAGTCTTAACTCCTAAAGCTGGAGAAAGTGGTGTTCCCACTGTCTTGTTCTGCATGGCGGATAGAGTCTTCAATACTTCCCAGGATGCAGAGAAAATTACATCCAGATCTTCCACTCCCCGTTTACTAGCTACTGAACAAAGGCAACCAAGACTTTCTCCAGCTGTGCTGGCAATGTGGGTTGTGATGGCTCCTGCACTGTGTTGACAAAACATTTTCTATAAATGCTTTGTGGCTCTCAAACACAGTCAAAACCAACAGTTAAGAGGGCAGTACCTTTAGGCATTCGCAGTCACAGACTAAGTGCCTGCATAAAGTTTTCCCAAGAAAACTCAGGACTTGGGCGCCTCCCAGACAAGACTGTTGTGTATTACTTATTTGAACTGAAGCACCTACATTTTTATTTAACTGCACTTCAACTGTCAGGGTACTATCCTGACTTTCATCCGAGGTACTTTCACCACCTCAAGGTTCTCAAGGAAGATTGCAGATTATTAGATATGAAATGGCACAAGGCCACCTACACCTGCCAGAGGTTACAGAGCCACAGCTCCAAATGAATTCAGGGGAGTGCAGGAGGACTTGACACCTCTGGAAATCAATTATTTTTCTCTTCTGAATCCTGCAAGAACCAACTATCTACCTTAGCGAATAAGATATGAACCAAAAAATTATAGTGGTATATTTTACTTTGAAATATTTTAGTATTTTAGATTTATGTAGACATAACTCACTCCATAGCTGGCTCAGATTTCCACAGCATAAAGCCCAGTTTCACTTCTACTGACAGCAAATTCACTATTTATAAAAAGGAGATTTACACAGGTAGGAAAAAAAGCCCATTGATTAATGATAACTAACTTACAAAAAAGTAATATTTAAAAAGGTGATGATTAAAAATTTACCATTACTGGCGCGCTGCTTTATTGTTAGCATTTGTTCTCCAGACAGCTTTGCTTTCTTCATTGCTGAAGTGGCTCTGGGGCATCCTGATAAACTGTGAACAGTAAGGAGCCTGTTAATTTTGATAGGGCATTGAAAATAAATTGTAATTCCAAACCATAATAAAAAGAGCATCAGAGACAAAGTTTATCTTCACTGCCTGGCACTGAAAGAGGGTGTTAGTCTGGGAAAAAAAAGTACTTAGTGATTTCATGGTTTTATTTTTTCTTCCCAATTCTTTTTGTATAGACAGCTAATATAAAAGTCAGGTATATCTTGTAAAACTATGAACCTGGGAACAACAGTCCATTTTTCTAAAGACACAATGCTCTTATTAAAAAGTGTTATTTTAGAAACAGTTACTGTGTAAATACTCCCCATTTGAATTTACATGTCCCTGCTCTGAACTTCCACCCTTTTTAATTAATATGTTCAAACTTGGAACTGAATGCTGAGAGAAGAGGACATGAGCTACCTCTAACATCCAAATGACCACCTCTTATAAACTGTGCTTTTCTTTGTGAATATCACCTACCAAGATGCCTAAACTGCCCTTTTCTGTAAAAGGCAGTAACTACGTGTCACCTTTTGGCTGAAGCCTTAGAAAAGTCATTCCCACAAAAACAACCTTGCTTTGATGAGGGATATATCTCTCTTATAATGTATATTTGTTACACGTATGGATGTAGACTCAGTTATCTCTTGTCTCTCATGTTGCATATTAAGCTTTTTAATTACAATTTACAGAATAGTTTGATAGCAAATGCAGTCTCAACATGTTTTATTGAAAAATAAAATTAATGATCAGATAGTGCTCACTATTTTATAAATAAGTGTATACACCAAACTATCCCCTTTTTCAAAAGTCACATCTTTAATGTAGTTGCACCACCACAGGCAAGAGAAAATACATATTCAATTTAATTTAACAATGGAAAACTATAGTCTTACTCTGAGCAAGCTTTGGCAGTGAAGGGAATTTGGAAACTCAGTAAACAGTCCCCTATTGCTTCAACATTTAAAGTTTCACAGCCACTGAAACTGAGTAACATCACATATTTCTCATTGCATACAGTCACACTCACGTTTCCTCTTCAGATCCAAAGGAAGATTTTTTTTTTGTTATGATTTTTAATTGGGCAAATCAAATACAGAGGTAATCTCTCTGTAATGTGAAACAAGTTTCTAAGGAATCTGGCATCTTTGATAAAAAACATTTACTTCAGTAGAGACACAACTTCCTACTAAATAAAGTCCTCTAATTTAAGTATGTTTAATTGTTAAAAATGTTTCTCTGAAAAGCCTGGACTGCTATTATCAAGTGCAGCCATCCAAAAAGGAAACTTTTCCCAGGAAAACATCTAAAAAAATTTCCTCTTCTCAGTAAAAGGTGTAAAGCTATAAAGTTAACCAAAAAGCTTGAATTGAGATCCCAGTGAGACTGGGAGTGGCATGACATTTCTAGAAGACTGAGGGGCAGAAGGAGATAGAAGACAAAAAGGATTAGATATGATTTTATTTGTCTCAAATATCTTGAGATTTTATTTGTCTTATTTGTCTGGCAAACAAAAGAGTACAAGTGAAAGCCATTTCAGTGCTCTAAGAGTTAAGCAAAATATGCTTTAAACATCTCAAAAATCAAAAAAGACCAAGAGAAACATGCTAGCTAGAAGATTTGATTTTGGTAAGGATAATACTTATCCTGACATCAAGTTGAAAGCCTTTACAGTTGAGGCCTGTCATAGATTTTTGTTACAAGTGGAATTAGTGTACAATGCTGCTTTGGTTTATTTTTTATATTTTAACAAACCTTACCTTGACTTTTACACAAACATGGAATTCTGCAACTTGTTCATTCCAGCAAAGAACCAGTAACATTAATCACTGTTATCATCATCTCACTTGCTACTACCATTATTCTCATACACATGAGAAATCACACACAAAAAAAATATAAATACAGTTGAGTATACTTTCCATAATAAAAAACGAATAAGGCTTTCTAACATCACTGCTGGGGGTTCTGCTGTAATAAATACAGTATAAATGTACTGAGCCATCATTTATCTCTGTCAGACTGTGAATGCCACAGGGTTTGAAACTACAGCATTTTGGTAGGGCTGTGAGAAGCACCAATCCCAACTCCTGCCTCCCTCTGAGTTCCTGATCCAGCAGGAGCTGTGAGCTGCTGCTGCTGCCACAGAGACAAGGTATAACAACCAGCTGCTCATCAGCACATTGGTTCATTGAGATGCAACGTGTCTTGGCTCTCGCTGAATTTCTCCTGTCAGGTTAATCTCTAATTTGAGAAAGGAAAGTACAGTCTGGCACGTCATCCTGGAAAGCCAGCCTCTGCAAAATACTGTGAAAAATGAATTGAACTGCTAGATTAAAGAGATCTAGGGTCAGACCCTGCAAATCTCCTGTAAGGCATGTGCTACAATTTGAGAAGGTCTCAATTTTTGCTGGTTGGCTGGAGACTTCTGACATCATAACGCATCATTTATACTGGAAACGTGTTTTTGTTGGGCATGGGTGCTAAATGGAGAGGTGCATGGCTGGGACCAAAGCGTTGCTTTGCAGGGCATGGCACTGTCCATGCAACAGACGTTTCCACACACCATACAGCTGTCGTACCGACAGGTAGAGGGGTGACTGGGTTTTATGCCATGCAAGTTCAACCTGCATTGATCATGCTTGTTTTTACAGGAAGACTTTACAAATGGAGGCATGCAGAGGTAAAATACTAGTAGCTGTATAAACTCAACAAAATAAGGTCCATCCATATGTGCAGCTACATCTTACGCTAACTGCCCTGAGGAGCTGTGACTAGTGGAAACCCCAGTCATCTAGAAGGTATGCATGCAGGAAGAATATATGCACAAATTGGGATAAAGGGTATATGGTGATTGCATGTTAGAGTTGAACACAACGTGAAGAATTAATTTTCTTTCTTGTTTGGGAGTGTGGTTACATTACTGGAACCTATGCCTTGCCATATATTCCGTGGATTTAGAAAATAAGGTTCGAAAATAAAAGGAAAATTAGGTGGGAAAAAAGTTTGAAAGGGACGTCTAGCTTGTGGTGAGTGCACATTTGTCAATAAATTTAGTTTAAAAACAAATAAATGTGGGCTAAAATCCTGAAGTCTTTCAAGAATATAATTGCGCTATCTTCAGTGATGCAAACAAGAGAGTCTGTCAGAGTGGAGGATCATTAGTCAAGTGGAGCAATTGTCTGGGTGACTGATTTTAGTTATCTGGGTTCCAGCTGTGGTCTGTTAAATACATTTTTTGCCTCATCAGACAGATGCAGCCTGGTCCCTCTTGAAGCTGAAGGAATTGTACTTGGCCTGTCAAGTGAAGAAAATATTTTCCAAACAGAGAAGTAGGGATGTGGGAAAAAAGGAGACAAAGGTCAAATAAAATAGAATTTTTATATTTGGTGCACAAAGTGCTGAAGTTTACAAAGAAAGAAAGAACAGGATGTAAAGAAACCAAAGCCTCAACCAGGAGTACCCAAAAAGCATCCTGAGGGTTAACTTTATAAACACTGTAAGACATTTACAGATTCACTACCACAGTAATTTTGCAAAAAAATAAGAAAATTAAATACTTTTCCTGTTTATTAAAAATACCATTGTCCATAGACTAGAGAAAGGAACACGTCACATTCAAGGGACCTCTTTTAACTAGAGATAGATCCAAAACAAGTCCTAGATGTAAAATCCTTTTGAAATTCAGGGAAATACAGATCACAGTGAAAAATACTGTTTTATTTTGCTAATAGATAAAACCTTACTTTTATGACTAAGCTCCTGAGCTATTTGGTAATATTTGAAGTTCAAGTTAAGAGATCAAACTCAGTGATCAAAGTGGCCCTTTCCGTGGTTTAATATTAAACCCACAAACCACTCATTTTTTTATTTTTTTTTTATGTTGAAGGGTATCAGCTTTAGTGATTTCTTTATTCCCATGAGTAAATTCTGCTACACACCTTAAAGGATGAAATACTCCATGCACAACTCCAGCAGAGATAAAAGGAACCCTTCCTAGCCCAGCACTCGTTTTTATTTACATTCAAGGGTGATTGGCTTTTCCCCAGCTTCTTACTGAGCTCTGAAGTAAAGGGAGCCCAGGAGAGAGGTTTTGCAAACAAGGTAGTTTTGTGTGCATGGAGATTGCTACAACCCACCAGCCACACAACCCCCACTGTCTTTGTGCAGTGTTGGAAAAAAATTGTCTGTTCAGCTCAATTTTAGAATTCTTCACTGGAAAAGTATAATTCCAATTAATGTGGCCCTTTTTATTTCTTGTTCTCTGGGTAAAGCTTGCTTTTTTTTTCTTTTTTTTTCTTTTTTTTCTTTTTTTTTGAGGGAGGCCGGTGGGAGGTATTTACAACTCACACCTGATGATGAAGAATTTTCACTCAAATTTTCAATCAGGAGGGAAATCTAAGTTAAATAGGCTACAAACTTGATGTGATATGGAAAGTGACAGCTCCTAATACAAGTTGCTTTCCAAAGCTGCTGAGGAAAGTAGCTGGGATTTTATTCTGTTGAAATAAATCTCTGTATTGGTTCCAGAACTAAGAAAAATTACAACACTACCCAAGTGGCCATTATGATTAAAACAAAATATAAGCTTTTCAAAATTATTGTAAAGATACCTGATCATTGTTTCAGAAAGACTCACAAGAAAGAACTACTTTCTTATTTTAGAAAGGAAGGGTTAAAGTAGCTTTGAAATCTGGTCAGTCAAGCACCAAATGGACAACAATATAGAGTGAATGGCCGTGATACCCAGAAGATGAGAGGGTGTTTTTTTTTTTTTGCTGGAGATTTAAAAGGTAAAGTAGTGTTATAGCTTAATTATGTCTATCCCTTGTAAGAAAATAATAAAACAAGCATCAGGTAAGAAAAACAAAACCAGAAATTATGCAGAACTGTAAACATGGCCAAGCTGAGAGAAAAGGTTCTGAGAGCAGACTCAATTTGAAGGGAATCTTCCTGGGGCATACATATACACCAGAAAAAGGATTAATGAATCTTGAAAC